GGGGGGGGTTGAATAGCTCGCACACAACTCTTCAACAACAGTGTGCCGCTGTATAAGACCATATACACACTATGGCGAGTGTGTTATGGCAGCAGTATACGCACGCGCAAGCCCAGCAGCTGCCTGGGTTCAAACCCCAGCAGCAGCAGCATCCCGGATCTTGATAATATAATCCGAGAGCGGGGCGGGGCGGGGCGGGGCAGCGGGGCAGCGTGGGCATGTGGCGCGCGCGCGTGTTTTCCCAGCTGTACGGGGTGGTGGGTGGGAGCGGGCAACGTTCCCGCTCCGATACTAATGTAGCGGAGCGAGATGGCACAGCGCAGCTCCCACGCAAGACTCCAACGCACGTACTCCAAAACTGTGCGAATGTAGAATGAGACAGAATACACACAACAGCTGGGGTATACCTCAGCGGACTGACGGGACTGGACTGGACTGGCTGGTACCGACAGAGGTACTGGCCTGGCCTGGACTGCCCCGAATAAAACACAGGCCTGTGAGAACAGGCCAAGGGGCTGGTCTCACAGGCCCACCAGAGGTCCTCTACAGTAGGGCTCGGCGGCCACTCTTTCCCGATGGGATTGGTGGTGTGCATCGCATGGGTAACTTTTTTCGCTGCCAGTGTTGTAAGATGAAAAGCAAGGTCGGGAGTGTAGTACTCCTCTTGGCCTGAGCAGCAGGACAAAAGGGTCGAGCATCTGGTTGGTTTTTGCGCCCGTGGGATAAGGGGCCTCGCTGCAGTACTCTCTCTTTTTTTTTTTTTTTTTTTGAAACTCACCCCCACCAGTGCTAGTGGTGCTGATAAGATCAGACACCGCTAACACCTAGGGGGAGGCTCCATCTATTGGTGGGGAGCAACACCTGCTGGAAAACGGGTCCAACATCCCATACATGGACAGAAGTCAGAACATAACAGAAACACACGACATCCACAAAAGACAAAAATCATGGCCGTGTATCTTTCCATATTCTAGCGGAAGATTCACTCTCATTTTGCACATTTCGAGAGTAGTGCAGCGAGGCCCAAGGTGCTCTTTGCCGTGAGAGTAAAGTCCGTGAGCACCTTATTGATGTATTTGGATGTATTTGGATTGCCTTTTGCACTAACACGGAGAAGCCTCTTCATGCCTTTAAACCACAAGTACACGGCCCCAGCCTTGCAGTCCGAAACTTGTCGCCACAAGAAAAGGAGACCGAAACGTCAAATGCTGGGCCCGCCGTTGATAAATTCAATCGGCGGTCGTGTTTTCGTTTCGCGCCTCCAGAATTTGAGGTGTCAGGCCCGTGGCTCAGGTGCCCATGTACTGGTGCTTTATTTTATTTTATTTTTCATTCCCCCCCCCACCCAAGAAACAACCCGAGTTAATGCCAGGGGTGCTGGTAAGAGCAGGCACCGCTAGCACTCCCGGGGCCCCCCATCTATTGGTGGGGACCTTCACCTGCTGGAAAATGGGTCCAGCGTCACTAGACATATGTTGAGAAGTAAACAATGTCATGCTGTATGAATGTTCGATCTGCTTTGAACAGACTGGACTATGGTATGCCCTGAGTTCCATCCTTCCGTGTATCTTACAGCCTTACGCAGGCGTAGGCGTACCATGTAAGTAAGTGTAAGTTAGTGTGCAGTGAGCCGTTTCTATTGTCCATGGTGTATATTGTGTATATTACAGCCTTGTGCAGGCATGGATGCTGTGAGTTGTGAGTTGTGAGTTGTGAGCTGTGAGCTGTGAGTTGAGATGAGATTTGAAATTTGTCAGATGTGAGTTGTGAGGTGCCTGGAGGTGGTGGGACAGGGTATGGCAACAAATGGTCCCTGGGCACTTGTGGCCATGGGACTGGCGTGCCATCCTAACTGGCCATTATCCTCCCTTCCAAGACGACACCTTTGTGTCCAACATGTTCCATCTATCTCGGCGAACGGTCCTGTGGGTCCTATGGTGGCAAAGATGCATACTAACTTTAGACCAAGTCGGGGTAGAGGGAGAGGAAAGGATGGAACAATTCAAGACACACTTCCAACTGGAACTCTCGCACAGGTGGAACTCAATGAAACAAACATTAGATAACCTTCATAGCCCCAAAGATATCAGGGTACGTCTACTACAGTTTTCCAGGGAATGGTTGGGTGGAGACCGCGAGGGGTGGGTGGCGGAAGTATGCTGGACCGGGGGTTGGAGTGAGGAGGAAGGGGGGGAGGACAGCCACGGAGAGGAAGTGCCAAGGGACTACAGATTGAGATTTAAGGACTGGCTGTCAATAGATCCCAGTATCCCTATGAGACCTGCAGATGAATTCCCGGACCCATTCCCCCCCAACCCACAATCCTTGGAAGCATACCTGTAACCGATGCCTCTCCAACCCTTCCACAAAAACCCGGTTAATCCATCCTTTTTTCCTCATCCCACCTCATCAGACGCAGCAAATGGGGATGGCAGAAGAGTGGCTGAGGAGGGGTCCTGCGGGAAGGATGGGCAAGGAACGGAAAGAACCACTGGGCCCCCCAGAGGTTCTTCCTGAATCCCGGGCCTGATACGAAAAGGAAAAGGAAAATGAAGCTTCAGCAGCAGAAAAACGGCCTGCTGCAGGGTGAAGTGGACCATCAGGCTTTCAGGGGGAAACTAGTCCTTCAGCAGCAGAAATTCGGTAGGTACAGGGCGAAGAGGTTCTCTCCCAGCAGCTCAACATCTTGTGCAGATGGTCTTCGGAAGTTAGCTTTCAGCTCAGTTATATTCTGATACAACCAGCTCAGTGGCAGGTCTTTTTCAAATTTTCCAATTTTCCTAATGCCTTGCTCAGTCAATCCCCTGGTTTCCAGGGTAATCAATGCTGGCAAGGGTCTTCCACATTGTTTTCCTGATCATATTCTGTATATGGGACGCTGGACCCGCTTTCCAGCAGGTGATGCTCCCCACCAATAGATGGAGCCTCTTCCCGTGTGGTAGCGGTGGCTGCTCTTATCAGCACCACTATCACCGGGGGCGTTCTAAAAAAAAAAAAAAAAAAAAAAAAAAGAAGTTGTGAGTTGCAGTAGATGTGAGGTCCCAATGTCTTTATGTCTGTGTATGTCTGTTAGTGTGAATGTATGAAGGTGTAAGAGTATAGACAGTGGTTTCCATGTGAGAGGTTGTGCCTATGAGGTCTCATTCTGTCTCTTAACATAGGCCAGAAGTAACATCATTGTGCAAAGCTCACCCCATATACCTCTGAATGAACAACATTGAACTGAATGTAATCCCTCAACGCTATCCCACTATTTTGTAATCTTTCTTCTCCTGTCGTAGGGAGGCAGGGCTATGGACAAAACGGAACTTTTTTATGATAGTACATCAGATGGTAGGGGCTCGGGAGGCAGGGGTATGAGCAAAACTGAACTCTTTCGTGATACTACATTTGATGGGATCTTGGTGCCGAAAAGTAGATCAGGCCTGCTAGTGGAATCCAGAGAGAAAGCCTTGGGTAGGGCAGGGATGGGGCGCTGACCCCGCTTCTGGCTCTGATGGGTTTTCCCTGTTCTTTTTTTTTTTTTCCTTCTTTTTTCTTTTCTTTTCTTTTCTTTTCTTTTCTTTTCTTTAAAAAGTCCATGGTGTTGTAGAGGCCAGTCACTGAGTACACAGTGATCACCTGGAGCAGTAGGCCATGGGTGTCCTGGAATATGTCATTGAGACCACCTCCCATCCCATCCTCACATCAATACTCCTGCTGATTTTAGAGGAAGACTGCGCTAGCGCTAGCGCCACGGTGCCGCCAGTCTGGCAAGGTCCGTGCTGCCGGCTCGACTAGTGCCCGGGGGAGGTTCTTCGGGCGCTGGGCCTGTACGCGCGCCCGGCAGACACGCGTGGTGTTTTGCCACGTGGCGCCTGCTGTTAGCGATGCAGGTGTTCCGCGACGCGCTGACAGGGGTGACACCAGCCGTGGAACTGTTGACATGTTGACGTTTAGTAGCGGCAGCTTCAATATTATCAGTAATGATTGGGGAGGGCATGGAGACTTCGCAGCCGTGG